TTTAATAAATTGTAATTACTGTTTTGATTTAGTATATATATTTAAACCAAGTTATTATATTAGAGATATTAATATTATATTTAATAGATAAAAATATTTATATGAATAAATAAAAAAAAATAGTCAATATTCGATATAATAAATCCAATATATTGAGGAGTTTGATTATTTAAATCTTTAATTATACTGAACTTAGTGGCCTCCAACAAGTTACTTTCTAGTAATAGCAGGTATCATTCATTATCGTTAAACAGCAAATGGAAATTAAAATATCGAAAATACAAATAATCAGTATTTCACCATCGGTGTATTTGACAAAGATATAACTGTTGATTCCTACACAAGTCATATGAAGCCCCCAAAAAAACGTCATCTTCATGAGCTTGCTTAGCGAGAAGGTGGGTCGTTCAGAGCTCCCGACCAGCAAGGGATGCTTCCGCCTGAAATGCAAGTGTTAGTAGGTTATCATAGCACGAATTTGATTTATAAATCTAAAAATTTATTTTTATAACATATATTTCGAAGAAATCGATGTCTGAAATACTGGAATAGTGAAAATCTCATATCTGTTTAAATATCATTCATATTTCCATGTTCATGTGATTGTACTTATTTAGAGAGCGCACGCTTTGTGAACTATTCCGAATTGTTGAGTTTTTGATCAGAGGTTAGTTTTGCTATCTACATATCATATCTCGATATAAAAATTCTTAGTAATTGTTGATTTTTACAGTTATGATTTTTTGAACATGTAAGGATAAAACCTTAGCCACGGCGAAAAAAAAGTGTCTGATCATGTGATATCTGTGTACGTATGTCCGGAAAAATTCTACAGTAATAATGGTTATTGTTAAAGGTTAATTTAAAGGTTAGAATTAGAGTTAGGGCTAGTGTTGGAGTCAATATTATATGTAAAATTGCCTTTCTGAGATTATTTTTTAGTGTGCCAAGCTAGATTTAGGTATCTGTTCATTTTCTTGTGTCGGATTTGATTTGCCGGGCTGATCAAAAATTCACGTATGTTTATTGGTTTGTGCCACCAGCAGCACTCGATCCGACAGTTATTTTTCGCCGTGGCGTGGCTAGGGTACTAACGTAAGGATGCATTACGTTGTGTATGTATATTAAGGAAGGTGTTGATAAAATAAAGTAAAGGTACTTTTATATAATACTGAAAATAAAATACCTAATAGTACATTCATCGCTATCAAAATTCATTTTTTGAGCATGTATCGTTATGACAATCGATAGCGATAATAACAACAAATGCTCAAAAAGTGAATTTAACACTATTAGATGATACTTAAAGTAGTTTGATTCTTGTATGAAAATACTGTAAAGTTTGTTGACCCCGGTCTTAATCAGAGTTTTTTAAAATTTCTCAGTATGAAAAAAACCGCATCGAATTTATCTCAGAGTAATTATACCGACATTGTAAACAATATAATAGTTTCAACTATGGTGTCCAGTTTACTGCATTTGCAGAATCCATATGGTTTATAATGTGATTTTTGTATATAATTTGCATAATGATAATAATGATGTGGATTTTATAACTTGCATTATAAAAATGATCTATGCGAAATTCTAAACAATGTATAACTAATAATTAAAAAGTAATAATTATTAAATTTTAAATAATAAGTTTTTTTAAAAAATTTGATCACCCGATTCTTTAAATTTTTAAATTTGATCATTATAATGACCTTGCACATTTTTCATTTTGCAAAATTTGCAGAATCAATTGCAGTAAATTACTGCGCAGAAATGCAGTAAACTGGACACTCTAGTTTCAACCAAAGTTTCCTGATGAATATGCCAATTGGATTCAAATAAATTAGGATTTAACGCGTAGTTATTGTAATTAATAACTATGTTGATTTATTGAGTTATAACTATTTGTGTTTTAACTTTAACTATATGTATTTGTGTTTAAATAACCACAGTAGTTCCGGTGGAAAGTGATGGCGGTGAGATTGTTATGTAAATTTACTATAATATGGTGCATAACATAAAATCTAAAGTCATCAAACATTTGTATTTTGAAATGTATAAACTTCTTTGTTAAGAAGTAAATACAAAATTTAATCCGTGAATATGCTCAGAAAAGGCCTATTCTATCTTATTCACGGATTTAATTTTGTATTTACTTCTTAGTAAAGAAGTTTATACATTTTATAAAATACAAACGTTTGATGACTTTAGATTTTATGCACCATAGTAGCATTTTTATAGAAGCAAAATATGTAAATTAAGTGCTAGATTTCTAGCAAGGTAATAACAATTGAAAAAAATAAAAATGTGATGAATCTAATAGGAGCAAGTCATTCTTCCAATTGCAAGTTTTTTTTCGGAACTTATTTTTTCAATAACCAGTTATCAGAATTTTATAATTTTGGACTCAATAAATTCGTCTCAATAAGACGAACATTTTGGTGGTGATTTCATTTTAATCAGTATAATATCCATCGAATTATGCATTGACACAGAAAGAGAGCACATTCAAGAACTGATATTTTAGGGGCATAATGCCCTACTCAAAGGCACTATCAAAATAAATTTTTTTAATTTTATGAAATATAATAAAAAAAACTGGCCGTCACTGCTTTCTGCCAGAACTGTATATATTTCGAATTTGGCAAGTAAACAGAATAAAATAAACGAAATTTTATTCAAATCTCATCTTTTTTTGATTGACGATAAATTCTAAAACATCGATAGCAGACACATGCGATTATCGTAAAAAGAATAAATCCGATGAGAACAAATGTCAGAATACAAAAGTTCCCACATCGACGGCTGTATGTAGAGCCATTATAATAATAATACCAAAACACCCAATGTCTACTTGATCCAGAACTACGACCACCGTAACCAGATACCCCTTTCTTACTTGGACTTGAAGTAGTAGACTTTGTCGCTGGCGTCGCTAACACGAACCCTCTTGTTAATAGGCTGAAAAAAATCCAAAATATTATTTTTTTTATTATTGATTGATTTTTAGCTTTTAGTGATAACGATAACTTCATATTTTTGGCATGAATATGGATGGAACACTTGTAGTATCGGACGTATATATATAACTTAATGGATTATTTATTGATCATTTTTACTAACAAACAATACGTAACAATAACGATAATTAACAATAAAAATTATTTGGTTGTTCATACTAATACTGATAAAATTAATCGGACCCCAAACTGGTAACTATACATTAAAATTCAAAAAAGAACGAAAACAATATAAAGATTGTGCGTAGCAATAACGATAACTACAGTGGGGGGACGGCCGAAATAATCAGGATGTTATTTCCCAAAAGTGATCTGAATTCAAATCACCATTGTGTCCCGAATATAGTGATAAATTAAAATTCGTTTGCATTTTTAAAAAGCTGAGGTTTTTAGCTTTCGATTCATAAACTTTAAAATTATAATGTTGGTTTTAAATAACCTTTATGATATATTTAGTTATTCAATTTTGCAAATAAAGAAGTTTTAAAATCTTAAGGGAAAGCTTTTCACATGAAGTGATTACTACGACTTTCAAATGACCTAATTTAGTAATTAACAATATAATCAATACAAATAAAAATTTGAAACGTTTAGATCGATTCTTAATGAAGTATTGTTAACATAACACTTGTAATTGAAAACGAAATCAATGTGATACTTTTAAGTTTCGCTCAATTTTAAATAATAAATAAATCATAAGTTTTATTTAGAGTGAAGTATTCTTAACATTGAATGAATTTAATTTTCAATGACTGATACAAAACATTCTCAATGTAAACAACTTACGGATTTCGAACGTGTAGAAGAATGGAAAAAAGAAAATAATATTGAATCATTTTTTTGGCCTGCACAAAGCCCCGTTCTTAACCAAATTGAGCATCTTTGGGAGGTTTGTGCACGGCCTAAACATCCCAAAAATGAATCTGAATTAGTAATTGCACTAAAAGAAGAATGGAATTTAACTCAGCCTGAAACTTTAAATAATTAGTTGATAGCATGCCTCGTAGAGTTAAAGCTGTTAAAAAGGCAAAAGGTTATCCAATTAAATATTAAATTATATATATTGATAGCTCTTCTTCTACTGGATTTAATAAACTTTATTGCATTAGATTTGCTTTAATATTCGGGACACAATTGCAATTTTGAATTCAGATAACTTTCCGGGAAAATGACATGCTGATCATTTCGGATGTAAATTTCGATTTATGTACTAATTTTCACCCGGGGTTTCCTATTGGTTGAGGTATTAAAGATTGATTTTAAGGTTAGTTTTAGGGTTAGGGTTAGAGTGGGGGACAAGCTTATATGTAAATTGTTTTCCCAGCATTTTTATTAGTGCTTCAAGCCAGATTAAAGCATTCGTTTTCCATATTTTTCACATTCGTTTTCCGTATTTTTTCACATTGTTCGCACTTTTAATTTTCTTGTGTCGGATTGTTTTTTCGGGTTGATCAAAATCTATGCATCTTTATTGGTTAAGAAGACTCGGTGTGCAGTCAACCAATCAGCGATGGAAATTACTTGCGTCCGTAAATTTGTGTACATGTCTGTATTATCTCAGAATAGTCGATAACACACGTGCCCCTTTTCTATACATGTCGATAACGCCATTGTAATTCTTTCAAGAATACAAACGACAATACGCACGCAAAAAAGGGGTGAATTGAAAGCATAACAATTAAACATTTATTAATCTTTCATCCTAGACAATACTGTATATCGATATCGAGAGAATAAGACCATATCGATATGTTTTTAGATAAAGCCTATTCATTCCTCTAATTTTAAAGAACTATCCTTTAATTGATGTTAAATGGTACCGGTGCATCACAAACATTTTGAATTTAAATACGCATACTACGTATACTGATTCTGGTTCCTGACGCTAATTTAGTGACGGCAGTCACTAAAAATATTAAATTGATATGCAAATTTCTTTTAAATTCAGTTCAATAAGAATAAATTTTCTCTAATAGTCCGAACACTTCAAATAATTCGCTTAGAAATGCGTTTAATGATGAATATTGTAGTAGTAGTTGATTTAGCCATCGATGGTGTTATCAGAATCATTTGAACCATTGAAATTAAAGAAGGAATATCTTCGTCTGAAGGAAGTTTAACGTTATCGGGGGATTATCTGTCCGGTTTAAGAATATATCGATATGTCTACCTTCTATATAAGCAATAAATTGTGCGTTGAAAGATTCTTCTAGCAACCAGGCAATTGTCGGACTGATTTGACATTCACCGCCGCGTTATATAATTCGTCACTTTTTCTGTTTGTTTCTTCTCTGGTCTAAGAGAAACGCGTCGCGCATGTTTGTATTGTTTATCGTTTCATTGATTATTTGCGCGGTATGTGCAACCTACAAGTTGTGGTTCTGCAGCTGCACAGAGCATCGGAGCAGGAACTGTGGTCCTCAAACCAGCATATCATACACATTTTTCTGACTCGAAAAAGCAAAACGAGTTAATTTTACCACGAAAGAAAATTCATACAAATTTGACTATTTATTGGAAAGAGCACGGGTTGTCGGAAGCATTGATAATTAGACCAAAAAGGGAAATCAATATGATTATGATTGGATTAAATTATGATACACCATAATTTATAATACATGTAATTTAAAAATTAAGGAATTACGAAATTACGAAATTTTTGTTGAAAATGGTAACAATACATGAACTGTAAATAGTTTCGTTTTACATAGCCAATCTTATTGGTTAAACAAGCTGTAATAGAATCATGGTTATCCACATTAACAAACTTAACCTCATACGATGCAACAATATCATTTTTACATCACCAAGACTGACTTTTTCACGGAAAAAATACGTAATCCACCACTCCATGGACAAAACATGTTTTGAAACTGCCATCATTAATAAATTTTTATGGTATAAATTTTTCGGGGGGGGGATCGATAAAGTTTTTCGTTGCGACTATCAAGTCTTCATATAGATTAGTGCGGAACATAAATGGCACTGCTGTGTTATATGAATTGCTCAAAAAGTTTCGTTAGTTTAATATGGCTATATAAAATAGTAAAAACAAAATTGAAATGACTTACTTTCATATATATAGCCTTGATATATTTGAATTACCGTAGGTGAAAAAAATGAATTAATCTCTGCTCTGATTTTTGCTTCTACTTCCAAATGTTTACTGACATATTCAACAACAAATATGAAGGCAGCAGCAATATTCTGTTTTTTTTTAACAAAGATTAATAATAAGAAATTGTGCAAAAAAAAGACAAAGAGCACACAGTTACCATTGACGCAGTGATAGATTCGAATAAACACATTTGTATTGCATCACCAGTCAAAGGTCTATTCAAATAATTATTCGTATTATGCGAAATTTCACGTTCTGTATTTGCCGCGCGATCAACATATTCATTATACTGTATCTAGTTTCAATGGTTCATCGATTGGCATATTTTATACTTTTCTTCATTTTTAAATGGGATCCTTCTTAATTGATCCTGGACTTGAAGATGCTCCTTATAACGAGTGTCATTTAAGAAAAATATCGCTTTAAATGCATTTTCAAATCCTTTGAATATTTTCTCAGTTAATACACGAATCTTCAATATCAATTTTCTTTCCGGCCAGTAATATCGATATAAACAAATTTTAATAAATTATAGCTCCATATAAAGTTTTCTAAAATTAAATATTGGTTTATTAATTTATCATTATCGTTAGGATTTAAGTTTATGAATTTAATCAATTTTTTGCCGAAAGCGACTTTGGCACAGTTGGTTTGAACGCTGCCTAATGACAGCTTTCTGGGTAACAAGTGTTGCATGTTCAAATATGAGCGCTACCTATGTACACTTTCAGAAATTGAATGTCGTGTGTTTGACCCTGAATTATTTTGTTCGTAATGGGGATCAGAGTTGTAATTTCATCCTATATCCATGTACTTTTTTATAGTAGCCTCATTGCTTTCCAAATCTCTTATACTAACGCTATAATAACGATCCAGCTTTTTTATGGTTTTATCTTTGTACAGTACATCCTAAAAGCTTTTTGTATTTCATTAAATTTGTGCTTTTATGTCAAAAAAGTACGTAACAAACATTTTACAAGCATTAATGACCCACAAAGACCTGCGCTGTTGCTTTTCCTCACTAAAAGCAAGCTCCGTTTCCTGTGTTACTATGCGTCACCTGATGATTCTGAAAGCAAGTCAATTCCACAGTCACAAGGTTCTTTGGTTCGACAGTTAAAGGAACCATTTGATGCACTCGAGCTCTTTTTGAGAGATTATATATTGTGCGAGAAATAATCGAACATACGGCACCTCAATCACCACAACAATGTTAAGAATACGTAATTCGAACACTATACAAAACATTGTTGATTTAATAAGTTAATATGTCGATGTTATTTCTTTGGTGTCAATTTAACCCTAGCTCCAAGACAAGTATTAGTGAACATTTCAATATTTTATGGGCAAGTCAGCATCAAATAACTGCACATTATACTTGCGATATAACAAAACTGTCATACGTAGTTATTGCTACGGATCGTCCAGGGCAATCCATACCAAAAGAGAGATAAGTATATCGATATCGATATAAAATATATAGTCCATGTACTAGAATACTCAATTCCGCTAAGTTTTAAATATTTGAATGACAATCACCGCAAACGACTTTATTTTCATTGGCTGGTATTGGCATTAGATGTACAACAACTTCAATAGGACAGATTCCAAATTTTATTTTCGTAAACTCGCAAGAGTATTTTCGCGCAGTTGCATCTTACATGGAATCGGAACCAACATGGATTAAGAGCGCGCGCTTTTGAACTTATCAAGAAATTTTCACCAAATAGCAATTATTTGTTTCAGTGTTTATTCGCATGCTATTTTTATCAAAAGATAATGCGTTTGGTTTGATAAATTCAGCTGCTTTAAAAGGTTATATTTATGCTCAGATGGATTTAACTTTTTTTTTGGTATGAATTTGGTGCAGGAACTTTGAAAGATTCGCATAAAGCAATTTATTGGTATGCCCAAGTAGGGTGTCCAGTTACTGCATTTGCAGAAATCTACTGCAAATTCTGCTGCAATTTGCAGAATTTGCAGAATCCGTATGGTTTATAATGTGATTTGTGTACATAATTTGTATAATGATAATGATGACTTTAGATTTCATGTACTATATAATCAACTCTCTCTAAATGCTCTCTCTAATGCACACAATATGTTTTATTTTATAAATGCACATCTTGGTTCAGTTCCAAGTTAATAAAGTTAATAATATTACTAGATAAAAATACTTTCTATAAATACATAAACTCTCTAAATACACGCTCAGGTTTGATTGTTATATGTCTCCCAATGGTGTGCGTTTAAAGAGAGTTGATTGTATTCATCTTTGTTTACCAATTACAGAGGCCTCCCAGAATATTGTGGACACTTTTAAAAATATAATATCATAAAAACCAATAAAAAAATATACTTTATTATTATAAGCTAATAGATTTACTAAAGCATAATGTACATTATCTTAAAATTTCAAGTGATTTAAATCACTGATTCAAAAAGTATATAAAAAAACATAAAATTTA